AGCGATTGGCTGGGAATACCCGGAAGTCTACCCGGATCAGCCCCGGTTGAACTTTCGGTTGACGGTTCAAAACACTACATACGATAGATCCCCCTATGAGTTGTACCCGGGGTATTCTGCGGATAAAAATTCTATTTATATCTGTATGCTATTCATATTATATATATAATAATAGCATCTTTACACTTATAAGAATATCTAGCTGGTGTAAAAATTGAGACTGATAAAGTTGAATGGGAACTGTACAGCGGGTATATCTCTAATCTTTGTAAATATCCGGATACAGTACATCAGTTGGCACTTTACGGTACTCATCGGACATGTCGATTTGCAATGTATATACTTCCATATACTGTATAATTCTAAATAAAATACAAAAATTTTAATCTTTTTTTTTGTTAAAATACTTCTTAAATAAATTATATATTTGTAATTTAATAAAGAACATTTTTAACTTAAGCCACTGGTTATAAATAACTATATACTGATTATATTTAACCACTAATTACAAATATTTAATATATAGTTAAATATATTTAGTAGTCATTTATAACTATTCATTAAAATAACTAATATTTTAATAATGCCAGAACATAACTATATACTATTTAATATCAATCAATATACAAGTTCAATACAATATTTATAATTAATTATTATAAGAGAAAGAGCAAAGTTATCCTTTGCAAAGCAAAGGATAGTTGTGCTTCCGCTATATCTAATGCCTCTGCTCCAGCATTTTTTTACTAAAGCTAAATCTCTATAAAATTATAAATCAATGCTCACCCTAACCCTAACTATCAATAGTCCTAATTACAATCTTAATCTCAATGCTCACCCTAACCCTAAATATCAATAGTCCTAATTACAATCTCAATCTTTACTTATTTGGTTTTAACAAATTGCAAGAATGAATATTATGTCCTTTAATATGACAATTTGAACAGGTGTAATTTTGTTTAGGATTTTCTTCAATATTTAATTGTTCATGATTTGATTGATTTAAACTTTCATTAATTGTACTTAAAGGTTGTTTATCATTCAATTCCAGAATACTTTTTTGTCTTTTACTTGGGCAACCTCTGGGTGTTATAACTATTGGATTGGTAATTTGAATAGTGTTTTCTTGATTGTTATAATTGTCACTTGTTTTAGAATTTGCTTTTTGCAGTTCTTTTTTTTGATTAATAAATTGATAACATAATTGATCTAACTCAGCACTAGTTTCTGTTTCCATTGCTAATGTTAATGCAGTTTGCAATAATCCATAGCTTTTGCCATAATATATACGATCCTGAAGGAACTTTTTAGTTGATGTTTTAGATTTTGAAACTTTTCTAATTTGACTAAGTTGTTTAAACTGATTAAATATAATAGATTGATCTGATTGATTTGGTAAAATATGTCTATTGGATATATCACTATCAGAATAAATTACTGGAATGATCAAAATAATATTATCTGATTCATCAAGATATAAATCTTTATACTATTATTGCATTATCAATGAAATATAAAATATAGCTATATGTGATTCCAATAAAACAGCAAAATAGTGGTGTTGACAAACTATTCTAGTGCTAACAGGCCAAGTACAAGTACATAAGTAAGAACTATACTTGAATAAAATAATATAGTATGCATTTGCTAATCCTACAATTCTGACAATATGCCACACTTCTTGAATATTGTTATGTGGAATACTATTTAAAAATTTATTTAAATGTACTTGTTGTGAGTCATAATTATCTTCGATATATATATTTATACATTCAGATTCATCAGTACAATGTTCTTGTAATATATTAAATTGATAACATCAGTACCAAAGT